AACACTTCCCATTAGTAACTCCAGAAAAGCAACGTCCAATTGTTTATTACTGAAAACGGGGTCTTTCAAGACTAAGCGAACGTGTGAGAGAGATTGATCTTGACTCTTGATGATCGCCATAGTATAGGAGACCATGTTAAAAAAAAATTTGCGTCGAAATTTTAACGGTACCCTCAAACAAATAGGAAATAATAAAATAGAAGAGCCATTACAACCATTTTCCTTATGCTAAATCAATTTTGTAACTCCCTTAATTGATTTATGCTCATAATTTATGGCATTCAAGCAAGTTAATTTGTAACTTAAAAATGAAATTGAATGCTAAAAAAATTGGAGGGAGAATAAAATTTAATGCATCACAATAAAATTAAATGCTTGTCTTGCCAAATTATATATTTATAGATAATATTGGCCATTCAAGTTTCTATTTAAATGTGGTTGGAGAGTTACAAATCACCATTATCAATTCTAATTGAAAATCACAAATTACATTTATGTCCTTTAAAGTAACATCTTTTGAGGGCAGTATGGGCAATTAAAAATTTTCAAGAAATAACACATACTTTAAGGTAGTTATAGATTATAGATAGATTATAGATATAGATAGATATAGAATATAGAAATGTGTGAATTTAATATTAAAATTATAGATAATAAACATATCACATTTTCAAGATATGTGAATTTAATATTAAAATTCTAGATAATGGAGATACCACATTTTCAAGATTTAATCATTAGTAAAAATAAAATAATATTTAAATAAATTATTTGAGTACATATGAATCACTATATTAATTAAAAAAATTGTGGGTAATGTAATTTTTTTTTTAATTTGGAGGGATCATAGTCAAATAATTTACTTGAAAACTTTATTATTATTATTATTATAATAATAATTATTATTATTACTATTCTTATTACAATGACAATTGTTTATAAGATTTTAAACTTTTTTTACTATACCATTAAAACTATTTACCCTCATAGTTCAATTTTTGAGACAGGTATTACCTTCATAGTTCAATTTTTGAGGCTGTTAAGACCCAGAAATGTTCCTGGTTTGGTCAAATTGGCTTGATGCCATCCCAACCTTTGCAAAAGGCTATGCTGTGATGATTAGATATGGAGAATCAACAAGAATTTCAGATGTGAACTGGGTGCCTCAACTCAGTCACCTCAAGCCTTCTTTGCTGGAGTTTGTTGAGGGCCACTTAATTTGGGTGAAGGAATTGATATGGTTTGGAGTGGAATGCTTGGTTAATCAATCAAGTCTTCAATGAGGAAGACAGCAAAGCCATCCTCAACATCAAAACTCTCAAGCCTAACTCTGCAGATAAACAGTTCTGGACATTCCACACCAAAAGTACATTCACGGTTTCTAGCACTTACTCATTCTTAATCAAGCAAAAAATTCTGTCTCTGGACTTGCCAAGCTGTAGCAATTTGAGTGCTAGAACCTTGTTCAAAACTAACAACAGACTGTGGGAAATTGAAAGTGATGGGGAAGGTTAAATTATTTGTTTGGAAATGCCTCACTAACTGCCTTGCTGCCAAAACAAATTTGATCAAGAAAGGACTGCAACTTGATGTGATCTGCTCTATATGTGGAGAAGCCCCTGAATCTGTCCCTCATATTTTATTCCATTGCAAAAGGGCAGTTGAGTTATGGCAGATATCCCCTGTCACTTGGAACATCAATCACTCTCAAGAACTATCCTTCAAAAGCTGGTGGCTTCATGTCTGTTCAGTGGATAATTCGGAAATATCAGAGACCCGTATTCAATTGTCAACATACATCCTCTGGTGGCTCTGAAAAACCCGCAACCTCAGCCTCTTCCAAAACTCTCTTATGCCTATCCATTTGGTTCTTAAAGCGGCTCTGCAGGACTGGATGGATTTTTCTCACGCTCACTCTTCCAATTTCTGATCTGTTTGTTTTTTTAGCTTCCTAGCTGTTTTTGGTTTGTTCGGTTTTATGTTGCTTGCAGTAGTTTTTTTTATCATCTCTAGGCCTTTGGGCAATAGAGTGTTGTTTGTTTCTTCTAGTGGTAGTCCTTTGTTGAGATTCTAGGCCGCTTTGTGCGTGTCCTCTCAGTTTAGTTTTTTCGGGTTTGGCCTGTACTATTCGAACATTGTTCGTTTTGAGTTTATATATATTCTCTATCGTTTCGTGAAAAAAAAATTAAAACTATTTACTAATTGTTTATAAAGAAAATTGTTTCATGAGATACAAAATTAAAATAATAATAATAATAATAATAATAATAATAATAATAATAATAATAATAATAATCATAAAACCTAATTAAGTGTAATCATGTATTTATAAAACCTAATTAATAAAACCTCATTTATTTTCCCTCCAAAAGAAGTTACAAAATTTGTCATTCATATTTTGCCTTTCACATTAATACACCCTATTAAATGTAATCATGTATTTTTTTTCTATTATATTATATAATAGTTAATGCTATTACCAACTCATAATATTTCACACTAGATATAAATTACATAAGTATAAACAAATTTATTGGATATTATTATTATTATTATTATTATTATTATTATTATTATTATTATTATTATTATTATTATTATTATTATTATTATTATTATTACTATTATTATTATAGTAGTTAATGCTATTTTTTTGCTATTATATTATATAATAGTTAATGCTATTAATTTTTTTTACATGACTACACTTAATAGGGGTGTATTAATGTGAAAGACAAAATATGAATGAAAAATTTTGTAATTTCTTTTGGAGGGAAAACAAATGAGGTTTTATTAATTAGGTTTTATTTATGAGGTTTTATTTAATGATTAGCTAGCAAATATATATATATAAATATATATATATATTAAAAAATAAATGTTTATAAGATTCTAAAGTTATTTAACTATGCTATTAAAACAATTTACTAATAGTTATTAAAGAAATATTTTTATGAGATACAAAAAAAAAAAAGATAATATTGATGTTAAAATACATAACTTGAAACAATTGTTTATAATTATGTAATTTATATTTATTGTGAATTATTATTAGTTGGTTTTAGTAATAACTATTATATAATATAATAGAAACATACATGATTACACTCATTAAGATGTATTAATGTAAGAAATAAAAAATGTTAATGACAAATTTTGTAACCGAAAATGGAGGGAAATTTTTAGAGGTTTTATTAAATATTTTATTAAATGCTACATGCCAATAATTATATAGATATAGATTATATAAAACCCGTGGGCCGATTGCCGGAGACAAGGAAACAGAGACGCCAACACACCGTAGAGTCTCCACCAGAATCGGAACATTTGCCGGCGATAAACCCCGCCGACGGGGTAGAAGGCTGAGGCTCTGCCAATGCAAGCCCTAGGTTATAATCCCCGGTTAATCAGCGCCCTTCGCCGCCCTTCGCCGCGTCTCAAGTTGCGACAATTCTCTTCGTCGTCGTCCTCGAATTACTCCGACCAGTCACGCGGAGGGCGTCCTCGATTCTTCTCGGAAACCCTACCCTCTTCGAAGGTGTATTCGTGCTGCACTATGCTTTATTATTCTTTCTTAGTTTCCCCTTTTTACTACTGAACTTGTATTGTATGTATGAGATTAGGCGCGAAAGGTGTTGATTGGTAAGGAAGCTACTTATGACTGTTGAGAACCTTACTTGAAAATTTGCAGGGAGGCATTGTGCGTGTGAAAGGTGATGAGTTCTGGCACATGACCAGGGTTTTACGGCTTGGAGTTAACGACAGGTGCAGCATTCGTTTCATTCTGTATCAGTGACTTGTTTTCTTATTTTGTTCTTTTTGGGTGAATTTTCTCGTGACTCTTTTTGGGGATATGATGAGAAAAATATAGTATTACCCTAGTGGTGAGGTGCGAATACTGTAGTTTGGTTCATGATTGACCTCGTGTAGTAAACCGGATATGGGGAAT